CGATCCGCACCGAAGTACGGATTCGGGAAAGGGCCCACCCTGCAGGTTCGGTTAAATAGCACATCGTTGAGCGGTGCTGCAGCCTCCCCTGAGCACAAACCCCCCCAGAGCATCAGCCAGACAAGTCGGGTTTGCACCCTCATGCCTTGCTGGACTCTGGCCGCGTTTCGGCACCCTCTCCCGCAACCTCGTCAGGGCAACCGACAAGGGAGAGGGCGGCGGTGGCCGACGCGTCCCTGAGCTAAGAAGCTCAAAGCGCCGCGGCTCAGAAAGCCGGGAACACAGCCAGACAGACGAACGGACGGACAAACGGAAAGCCAGGCGGCGTGCAATGATGATGCTGATGATGGTGCTGATGTTGATGCTGCTGATGATGCTGTTGATGCTGATGCTGCTGCATCTGCTGCTGCTGCTGCTGCGGATGACGATGATGCTGATGCTGCTGATGTTGATGATGATGATGTTGCTGCTGATGATGATGATGATGATAATGATAATGATGTTAATGCTACTGGTAAGGATGATGATGCTGATGATGATGCTGATAATGCTGATGATGATGATGATGATGCTGCTGATGATGATGATGATGATGATGATGATGATGATGATGATGAGGGGCAGGAGGAGGAGGAGGAGGAGGAGAAGGAGCAGCAGGAGGAGGAGGGGGAGGAGGAGGATGAGGGATGATGAGGGAGGGAGGGAAGGAGAGAGGGATGAGGAAGAGGAGGAGGTGGAGGAGGATGAGGAGGAGGAGGACCAGTGTAAACCTAAGACTCATCAGCCATGTTGTAATACACCCTGTCTCCAAGCTCCCTGTGCGCGTCGGTAAGAAGGTGGCCCGCCCTCAATCCGTGAAGCTCTTGCAACTGTAAAGCGAAAAGCGAGTGCGCGCTGCGCTACGGCGAGAGCCACATTTTGAAAACGACCCGCCCTCAATCCGTGAAGCTCTTGCATCTGTAAAACGAGTGTGCGCTGCGCTACGGCGAGAACCACAATTTGAAAACGACCCGCCCTCAATCCGTGAAGTTCTTTCAATTCTCCTCAGCGAATGCGCGCCGCTACGGCGAGATCCATATCTTGAAAGCTACCTGCTCTCAATCCGTGAAGCTCTTGCAACTGTTAGAAACGAATGTGCGCGGAGCCAGTGCGAGAACCACATTTTGAAACCGACCCGCCCTCAATCCGTGAAACATTTGCACTTGTATAAAACGAATGTGCGCGGCGCTCATGCGAGAGCCACATTTTGAGAACTACCCGTTGTCAGTCCGTGGAACATCTGCATTCAACAAAAAACGTATGTGCGCGGCGCTATGGCAAGAACCACATTTTGGAAGCGACCCGCCCTTCATCGGTGAAATTGTTGCCAATGTCTGAGCTTCAGGCTCATGAGTGGCGAGGAAGTCTCAGGCGAACCGCCCCGCCTGCCCTTTCGAACGGCCTTGGGGTGCGACAGGGAGGAGCTATTCATACGGCAAAGGAATGGAGAAGAAGGAGGAGGAGGAGGAGGAAGAGGATGATGAGGATGAGAAAACAGAGGAGGAGGGGGAAGAAGTGGAGGAGGAGGAGGAGGAGGAGGAGGAGGAGGAGGAGGAGGAGGAGGAGGAGGAGGCCGGAGGGTAACAACGGAGGGCAGGGAAGAGAAGGACGAGGCCAACGAGGACGAGCGTGACGACGGAGGCGGCCTCGCCCACCCGCCGCGCCCCTCCCCCCGCCGCTCGAGGCGGGAAGCCGTCGCCGTTGACGGGAGGCCTCCCGGGCAGCGGCCGCCGCCCGCCGCCGGGGAGGAGGGAGGAGCCTCGAGGCCCCTCGAGGATCCAGGACGGAGGAGCCTCGAGGCTCCTCGAGGATCCTCGGGCGAGAGAGAGAGAGAGAGGACAACAGAACCAAGCGAGGCTCTTTGCTCTGAGAGGAGGCTCGACCACCTCGAGAGAGAGAGAGAGAGAGAGCATGATCCTCGAGTCTCCCCGCCTCGAGAGAGAGAGAGAGAGAGAGAGAGAGGAGGAGGAGGAGCCTCGAGGATCCAGGACATGGATGGCACGGGCAGCGTCAGGGGGGGGGGATGGGCTCTCGGGTGGTGGGGGTGCTCTCGTCGCTGACCGCGGGTGTGCCGGCCTCGGGAGGCTGGCTCTCCAGCAGCCGCCGCCCTGCCGACAGCGCTCCCCGGGGGGCTGCCCGCACCGGCCCGAACGGCCGTCGGTGGCCCGAGCGTGTCGACGAGAGAGGTGGAGGAGGAGGAGGAGGAGGAGGAGGAGGAGGAGGAGGAGGAGAGGAGGAGGAGGAGGAGGAGAGGGAGGAGGAGGAGGAGGAGAGGAGGAGGAGGAGGAGGAGGAGGAGGGAGGAGGGTAACAACGGAGGGCAGGGAGGAGAAGGACGAGGCCAACGAGGACGAGCGTGTCGATGGGAGAGGTGGGGACCCGGCCAGGGGCAGTTTCGGAGGGGGCCGGCGGTAGTTTCGCGTCGTGCCGACCAGCGGTGAGCCCGTTGCCGGCGTGCAGTG